ACATGGGTGATGTGGGAATTGGGTGTCAAGATCTTATTTTTTATTTCGGGAAATTTACCTAATTTTTAACATATGAAATGCTTAGAATAAAAATCAAAAATAATTTTTTTAATGTGAGCAATTAAGAAAAACCTCATGAAGTCTGCCTTTTTTCCCCCATGTTTATTCTTACGGGCTTTAGTTAATTAAACCCAACGAGGAAGAAAAACCACCACAAAGGCAGAAATGTTCCCTGAATAAACATTCTTTTGTCCTTAACTCAAGAACCAGAAGAAGAAAGATTTTGCTAACGGTACTGCAAAGAGAAAGAGGCACTTTTAAATACGAATGGAATATACGTAAAGCTTCTTTTAAATAAATGTATTTTCCTTTAAGACACTGCTCTGGTTTTGCTTTCCTGTTTTTCTACAAACAGAAGCAGATGGCTCCCAGGTTAGATTTTGCTCCAGGAGAACCAAACTCTCCAGTTACTTGAAGTATCAGCATTGTCCACGCATTCCTTGTTCTAGAACTTCTAGACAGGAGGCAATACTGTTCTTATCTTCTTTTACATCTTAGGTAAGGAATTTCTGGATTTAAGAAAAATCAGGAGTGAGCCTGACTAATCTTACATCCTCCCCCTCTGTAGTCAAGTGAGTCATTTCTGGTACACTGAATTCCAATCAGGTGAGAAGCAGATAACGAATCACTTCGGTTGGAGAGTGAAGAAATCACCCCCAAATTATAGCTCAGGTGAAGCGTGAATTGCACTCATTAGGTGGGGGACCAGGGCTGTGCCTCACGCTGGCTGGGACATCCCCAGGATGGGGGCTCCTTCAGCCGGTGGACAGCCAGGAGGGGAGGACCTGAACCTCTGGTGAGCAGAGCAAATCCTCTTGGTCTTAAAGGGCAAAGTCAGTCTCTGCATGGGCTCTGAAATTCCTTTAGAGTCTTCTTAGGGCCTTGTGTAAATCCCAGTGTCCCAGGGGATGGGTTCTAGCATTCTGGAACATTCCCCAGCCCAGGCTAACAACTGCTGCTTAATCCAGAGGTGGAAACTTCGAGGTCTGGCCCCAGCCCAGAGCAGCTCACTCAGAGTATGGAGGCTGTACGTAACATAACGCTCTGCCAGGCTTTCACGGGAAACCAGAGGCAAATCGTGCCTGCAGATAACTGATGTTAGACCCGCTCTGAGCAAAGTTTTAGATCTAGAAGAGCATAGGGTCTTGGTGGAGAAATTGTGGAACAGGGATGAAAAAGTAAATTAGAATCCATAAAGATAAATTTTACTCTTTCTTTCCCTGGATGGGACTCCATTGATGTGAACGGGGAGAGGAAATTATTTGTCTCTCATCTCCTGGCAAGAACAATTCAATGGAAAAGTAGAACGGTTTGCTGCTACCGCTAGTAGTACTACCACTGGTATTACTACCACCACTAGTACTCCTGCCACGACTACTAGTGTTACTGCCACTGGTACTGCTGCCACTGATACTATTACCACTACCACTGGTACTCCTGCTGCCACTAGCACTACTACCACTACTACTGTTACTACTATAGTACTCCTGCTACTAGTACTACTATCACTACTGTTACTGCCACTGGTACTACTACCACTACTACCGCTACCACCACTGGTACTAATACCACCACGAGTACTACTGCCACTACTACTGTTACCATCATGAGTACTCCTGCTACTAGTACTGTTACTACTATAGTACTCCTGCTACTAGTACTACTATCACTACTGTTACTGCCACTGGTACTACTACCACTACTACCGCTACCACCACTGGTACTAATACCACCACGAGTACTACTGCCACTACTACTGTTACCATCATGAGTACTCCTGCTACTAGTACTGTTACTACTATAGTACTCCTGCTACTAGTACTACTATCACTACTGTTACTGCCACTGGTACTACTACCACTACTACCGCTACCACCACTGGTACTAATACCACCACGAGTACTACTGCCACTACTACTGTTACCACCGCTGGTACTAATACCACCACGAGTACTACTGCCACTACTACTGTTACCATCACGAGTACTCCTGCTACTAGTACTACTATCACTACTGTTACTGCCACTGGTACTACTGCCACTACTACTGTTACCACTGCTGGTACTACTACTACCGCCAGTGCTGGGAGAGACGGGGAGCCAGCACGGGCACTCAGAACAAGGGCTCAGTTGCTTGTTCTGTGCCCACGTTGTGCCCTGTGCAGGCAGCCAGGGCCCAGTCAGTGACTCGGGTGAGGTTCCATTTTAATCAAGAGTGGATCCGACAACTACAGGCATCGTTCCTATAACTATAACTGCCCTGGAATCATCTGGGAGAATACGAGGCCTGCATTCTTCTTCAAAGCCCCAGGAAATGCTTTATGTCATGCCTTGAGGGCGTGTTTTACATGATGGTGGGAACCAGACCCATTACCAGCAGGAAATGTCAGCATTTACGAGCCTTCATTTTAAACATGAATGATGTTTGCTACAATTGTCTTTTTTGTTTAAACTTTACAGCTTTTTAGAAATGCAATGAAAATGAATGTTTGCCCTTTTGCAAGGTTAGGACAGCCAAGGCTGGTAGCTGAAGACTCACTGTAGCAAGTGAACCAACGAGGAACGTTTATTTTTCCAACCTCTGGCGTCTTGATGTTGGTCAGCACGCACAGAAACTGATGTCTACACGTACTGGCCTAAGACTGACAAATCATTTCAGACTCTGCTGTTAATACTCCTTGTTTTGCAACGGGAAGGGGAGGCTGGACCATAAAAGCTGGTGACTAAGATGAAGGAAATCCTGTCTGAGCTAAGATTGTCTTGGTGGATTGGGGGGAGGGGGGCTTGTAACCTGGTAGGAATAAGCAGGAAGCGAAGGTGGTTTTTTAGATAGGAAGGAGAGGATCTCAGCCGAATTTGGTGCTACATTGTAACTTGCACAGTTGTTACAGTTAGGACAATGACCAAGTAAGGAAGAAAGGGAAGGAGGTGGTTTTCCTCCCTGGAATTCCCAGCTCGAACCTTCCACCCACTGGCCTTCCACACCTGGGCCTGAGGAGGAAACAGGTTGGTCTGTGTGTCCTGTCCATCCTGATGATGCAGCTGTAGCCGACAGTGAGGACGGCCAATGCCCTGCTAGGACACGGCAGGGGGGTCTTTCTGCTCTTCCAAGAAAGAAATCCTATGCTCAGATTCTACTGTGCATTTTCTATGTCGCTTTGCCAAACCAAAATCTCTTGAGTTTTCCTGCTTTGTGAAATTATACGTCGGTCTCAGAATTATCTGAACAAACTGTTCTTTGTTTATGAGTTCTTTCCATTTGTTCTGGAAATAATTTAGTGACACCTCGACCTAAGGTTAAGTGAAATTTAAATTATTTTCTTTGCAGATATTTCTCCAACCCAACAAAATGGAGACAACTGTCCAAAGGCAGAGATGTCCCTTCGTCCGTCTTGCCTGTGGCCCCCCGACACATCCACAGCTCACTTCCTGGGGTCACAGCTGCTTCCTGTCAGCGTGTGTGAAGATGGTGGGGTCTCAGCGCAGAAGACGCGCACCTCGCTCCCCACGATGCCTCCCGCGGGCCAGAGGCCCACAGGCCTGGCGTCCGGGCCCAGCTCCCCGCTGCCCCAGCCTGTGGGCCGGGCAAGGCCTCGTCCCCTGCCGTGAGGGCCGCACAGAGAGCGCCCTGTCGGGACAGCAAGGCCTGCGAGAGCTGTTCTCTCCCCAAATTCTGCTTACGCTTGAACTTTTTCTCTCTGGCTTCAAGTTTTTATGTTTTGAGGATGAAGACCCATATTTAATTAAAAAAAGATCCTAAAACCAGGTAGCCACTGGCTAGCATTTATCAAGCCCTACAAGGCTAAGGTTGCTACCATCTTTATGGGCAATTTCTTCTTTTTTTCCTCAGAGCACACTTACGAGGCAGAACGATTTTTATTCCAGTTTTAGAGATGCAGCTAAAGCTTAAAAGCTAAGCAGCTTGTCAGAAGTCATGCAGCCAGGAAGTAGCAAAAGCACATTTAGAACCTGAGACCCACCTGGCCTCACACTCCCTGAAAGCCCCCATCACAGTCACGCCCTTTCTTCCATGTTCTGCGGAACAGACTGTGGCTCCGAGGCTTGAGTGGGACTTCAACCCAATCCCATATGAATCTGACGTATGGTAAAGTCTACTAGTCAAAGGAGCAAGCAACTCGGCCTCCCATGCTGAGCTTCTGCGGGTTGCTCTCTAAGCACGGATGATCCCAGGTGGCAGAGTCAACCTCAGAAATTGAAAAAAACCAGCTAGTTGGACAACTCCTATCCCACAGACACACACATGAGCTCAGATCACCCTACCCACCGCTCCCGCCTGTGTCGCTGTGGGACCCAGACCTGAGCTCTGGGGAGGATTCGTGTATATAACTGTGCCCAGAAGAAGCGAACATGTTCATTTAGTGAAGGAATTTCACATAAACCACGTCACCGTGAACTTGCAACACGGTTACTGGCATTCCTGTTGTACCCACGAAGAAAGGGGGCTCAGAGAGGGGAAGTGACCTCCTGGTCCTGGGCCACGAACCCAGATGCTCCCATTCTGTGGGACAGACCTCACCTGCCTCCCTGTGGGCCCAGGACAAATGGACTGTGTCATCATTCCACCGCGGTCCACGGGGGCTCCTGCACAGCTCATCTGAGGAAGGCCTCTTACTCCCCAGGCCGTTTCAGTAAACCTTTCCTCAAGTTAGGACTAACGCTTTTCCAACACCCTCTTCATCTGCTCAAAATAACACCGGCTTGCTCGTGTGTCCCCGCTTTACGAAGCTGTCGTCCATACACCTCCACAGCCTGGGATTTCAAAAAGGACCTGGAGGTGGTTTCCAGGAACTCCGTCTGTGGATGGGGCTCCCCACTGCCCACTCGGGCCTTCCCTGATCATTGTGTGGGGGCCTGAACTGAGAGCAGCCCGTCCACACTTTGTTTCTCAGGGTCCAGGAGCCACTCCATCACCTACACGCACAGGCCGGCCCCTCTGCGGAGAGCCCCTAAAAAGAACACGCCCGCCTGACACTCCCTTCCTCCGCCCGTGCAGCCCTTGTGGAGAAAGGAGCCGGGGGCATTCAAGGCCGTGTGTCTGTGTCCCAACTGTAAGCCCTATGTTCTGTTTCTGTCTCATCTTGATGTCTCCCTGTAATCTCTCCAACTATCATCTGTCTGTCGGCCTGCCTGTCTCTACCCACCGTCCACCCACCTGTTTATCTACCTATTTATCCATCTCTCTTTCTCTACAATCTATCGCTGTTACAGCCATCATCCATCTATCAGTCTATCATCAATCTACGTCTGTCTAGCTGCCACCTACATCCATCACCCATCCATACCCCATAGAGGTAAATAACATGCACATAATATGCATATGTATATTTTACACACCCCACACTCTATGTATTTTGAACACGCGTTCATATTCTATGGCTAGGGTCTGTCAGCCGGGCACAGTGGTTAAGAGCAGAGATTTTGGAATAACCAAGTGTTGAGCTTCACTCCCAACTTCATTCCTTATTGGCCGTAACAAGTACCCTAAACTGTGTGTGCCTCAGTCTGCACACCTGTAGAGTGGGGTGATCGCAGCGTGGTGGGCACTTAGCAGGTAACGTGTGTTGGTGGCTTAGCTCAGTTCCCGGCGCCCCTGGGATCAGCAGGTGGGAGTTGCTGTGTTGCTCCCTTGGGATATTTTAGTTGTTCCGGGGGATTCTGGAACTCTAGAAGCACCTTCAGGGGTTACTCCTTCTGATGTTGATTCCAGGAGACCCTACAAGATCCCTCCTTCCCGATGGCACCGTGTGGTGATTGCCCCGGGCACTGCTGATCACCATCTCTCCTGATGGACAGGCCGGGGCCTTGGAGGTGGCCCAGGGAGCTGTCCTCTGTCCTCACGACGCACCCACGTTACTCCACAAAGACAGTCACGCCCAAAAGTGCTCAGCATGCAGAAAAACACATTGTTACGTAATTTCTACCAGGTCCCAGAAAACGAGTCCGTGGAATTCCGTAACACACATTCTTCCATAGTCCCCACGTGGGAGATCACGGAACTGGGCAAAAGCAGCAAAATAGGAATTTTATGGGCGAGGCTGAAACAATTCTTAGGAAAAAATGCAAATCTTTCATAGACACATTGAAACTTCCTTTACCAGCAGGCATGGCCAGCTCTATGGGGGGGGGGGGCATTTAATTGGGAAAAAACAAAACAAAAAACCCCCACAAAACCCAGTGAGAAAAGCTACCCTTTAATCTTTTATTAGTTGTTCCATGACCGTATTCCTCATCCAAAAGATCTGTCCGAATACTCTCGGCTAACTCCATCTCCCTCGTTGCTGGAGCCGACGCCCTGGAGGGCCGCCTGGGTCCCAGCGTGGGGGGCAGAGACCACGTGCTGGTGCGCAAATCCCAGATGGGAGATGAAACATGCCCTAAACTCTGGACTGTGGGAGCTGCAAAGGCGCTGAGGATGAGTGACGACCAGCATTTAACGTCTATTCGTGTTACGAACGAGGGCTTAATTAAAATCATCAATACCTAATGATAATGTGAAGTCCTAGCAGGCTGAGAGGGCACTTTGATTGGACTCTGAAATGGGTCTCAATCCCAAGGGACAGAGGCTCCGGCCAGGCACAGGCCTTCTGGCTTCCGCCTCCCGGGCGCTCCGACAGGGAAGGGGGCAGGCTGTCCCCTGTGGACGGGGCTGTGGGCGGTGGTGAGGAGACAGGGTGTGTAAGAAGCTACCGGCCAGGGCCTGCTCTGTTCCTACACGGGGGGTGAGAGAGGCAAATGTGTGAGGTATTGACCACTGGCCATCCTCGTTCCTGGCCCTTCTCCCCAGCCAGAACTGGCGTGGAAGTTGTAGCCACTTGGAGATAGGGCCTGCGGCCCTCCAAACTCCACCACGGGGCCTCCCAAATCACTGGGAGCATGCACAGAGGGGCCTCCAGGACCCTGGACGGCCCAGTCAGTGCACCTTCCCCTCCCTGCCATCCACAGGGTCTTCTAGGCATAGAAGGAGACGGTGGGGCTCTCCCAGGCGCCTACGGAGGCTGGCCTGACACATCAGGAAGGGCGAGCGTGTGAGCAAGCCACGCTGAATGTCTTTCTGAACGCCGCACCATCACACCCACCTGTCACGCCGCCACAAGGTCTGGAAAGAGCTGCCAGGGTTTCCTCCCCAGTCAGGCGGTCAGGAAGAGGGAAGCTACTGTAGCTCATCCCTGCGCCCCTACAACAGGCCGAGCTCTGGGAAGTCCATCAGGATACCTCCCCTCTCCTGTTTTCATAAAGGACTCCACCCGAGTTAGGGGGACAGAAGCTCTTTGGCCAGGCAGGGGTCACCTCTGCTATATTTCCAAGTACACAGAAGTGCCCTTTGCCACTCGGCCCATGAGAGAAGAGATGGAAGGACATTCCAGTCTTGCTGGCCACCTCTGCTGCTCACTAGTGGGAGACCAGCTGCTTCTCAGCTTTCTCTCGCCCTCGTCTGCCTGGATCACGTGCACCTAATGGGGCTGGTCCAGGGCTTCCAAGAGCGGGTGATTGCTTGGAAATAATTTAGTTTTTCAGGAAAGCTGCACAGGTGGTGTAGAGGGTCCCTGTACGCCCTTCACCCAGAATGATGATGCTAGGTCAACATCTTATAGAACCTCAGTGCGTTTTGTCAAAACCAAAAACTCACACGAGTCCATTAATACACTACAGACTCTATCGGAATTTTGCCAGTTTTTCCACGAATGTTCTTTCTCTCTTCCAGAATCCAATCCAGGAGACCACCTTGCACTTGGAGGAGCGGGATTTACAAGAGAACTTGTCGCTTCAGAGGCAGCCTCACTCACGGCAGCAGAGCAGAGTCTAAGAGAACGCCCGGGAGCGCCAGGAGCCCTGGGGCACTGCGAGGTGGGGAGACCCCAACATGAGAGCCCCCTCCGGTGGGTGGGGAGAGCCAGTGGGAGGCCGCAGAGCACCCAGGGGCGTGGGCTTCCTTTGAGGTTCACTCCCTGACTGGAGAAACTTGCGGGGTCCCCGTAAGACTAGATACCCCCTTTTTCATTCACAGATAACAGAAAGAAAAATCACGGATGCCCAGGGAAGCCACTGACATCAAGGTTGGGGAGTCAATTAGGCCTTTACCTGACCCAGAAGAGTCTCATTAGCCGGGGGGAACAGCTACCAGGTAACCACCAAATCACCTGCCTGTTCTCATCTCAGCTGATTAAGTACCGTTCGAGGATTCCAGAAGCTTCTCACACCCTGAAGCTAAAAAGCCTAATGCAGCATATTTATTTTTAAGTCACATCCTGGAGCAGTGCACATGCTTCCCCGGAAGAGCACTCCATCCCAGTGTCACAGCTGGGAACGGGGGGGGGGCCGGCTCCCCGCACAGGGAAGGCCTGCGGCGGGGGTGGGTGTGCTGACCATCCGGAGCACCCCTGTACCAGTATCATACGACACGACGTGTCCCCTTCCCTATGTCCCAGAACCAAGGCGGTCAGTGACTTGCCCTGGGGTCGAACAGCCAGCGAGGAGCCAGGCTGGGGGTGGGGGGGCTTTGTTGCCCCCAAGACGACTGTGCCGTCCGTGGCCCCAGAGGCCCCCAGCCCCTGCACAGACGGCCTGGTGTACGAGCCGAATCAGCCAGGCCGGGGTCCAGAAGTCACCTGCCACCCTACTCAGCGGTGATGGCACCCACCGACCCCAGCGCACACAGCAAGAGGCCAATCCCAGACCTTTCACTGAAGCTCTCTAACCAAAGACATTCTTTCTTAGAGTAAAAGAGCAGGGCGTTCCCGAACCGCCCTCTACGTCATGGCAGCCCCCTTACGTCATCATCAAATGCAACACACGGAAGGTGCATGCACACGCCACACCTCTGCTTTTCCCTCTAATTGTCTCCATTAATGGAAGCTAGTCACCCATTTTTTAATCCTCTCTCCAGAAAGACAATCCTTTGATTTTCACTATTTTAGCCAAGTCTTTTTTTCTATTCTAGAACTTTTCACTTTTTCCCTCTCTCTCTGGCTCTAAATATTCCCAAGGGCAGTGCAAGGGCTCTGTCCCCTCTGTCCATCCTTTGCGGCCACGTTTAGTTCTGCGATGCTATGACAAATTCCTCGTGTTACTGACTGTGGCCAAGTCATATGGGCCACCTAGGGAGGTTCGCTTTACTGGCCTCCAGAGAGCTGGATACACGCTTCATGCTTGTTCTTCCATTAACAGAGGAGGAACCCTGTGATCTCTCCCCTCTTCCTAGGGACCCCGATTTTGAACAATAGCACTAACGCTCTGGGAAACTAGGGAGAGAAGTGGTCTCATGGATTCCTACAGAAAGCACTGGAGCATCTTAATACTACACATTCTTTGCAACCGATCAACAAGCCAAAAGGAGAAGAGAAAACCTCACAATATATTGCCCCCCCTTTTTTTTGGCTAGGGGGAGGGAAAGGTGTGGCTGCTTGTAGGAGCATCAGGCGAATTTTCCGGGGCCTGGAGCCCAGCTGCAGGCAGCGCAGAGCCCCGCATCTCCTGGGGTGCACGGCACCTGCACGTCCAGGTCTCCTGGCTGCATCCTAATACCTGTGAGCATCACGGTTGTGTGGCCAGTCCCCCCAGCTGAGGTCGTGAGGTCAGCCCAGCCCACAGCGTGTTTGATCTGAGGGACGATCTTTGTTCTCTGGAATTCTCTTCCTTCAGAGTCACACAAGACTGGTCTCTTAGATCTTCAAGGCTGCTGCCCCATCTCTTGAGATAAGCAACTACGCTCTGCCCTGGCTGCAGTGAGAGCGTCCAAGTCTCCACCGAGGCTCTGCCTCAGGAGCCTCCTCTCACACAGGCCCAGCAGATGCCTGGTGCCTCGCTCCCGGCCAGGCTCTACTCATCCGACAGCCCCAGGTCTGGAGGCTCAGGGCCCTACCACGTGCGCATTGTTGCGGGGTGCCCAGGACACAGGGGTTTGGCGAGCGCCAGCGCTAGGCAGCAGATCGTCGGGTCCCAGGGCACCTGCCTTCAGAGTCCAGCCTGGCGACGCCCGCGCTACGTGGCCTCGTACGGTGGGCCATCAATATAAGTGCGCGGCGTCCTGGCACCTTCAGGAAGGGCAACATGAACAGCAGGGCATGCGTGTCCACGTTGGGCCCGGACCTCAGGCTGGCCAGTGGGATTTCTGCTTCCTTCCCTCCCTCTGGACATCTGATCACATCGCTTCGACCTTGCTCTGGGCTCCTGTTCTTCAAAGCAGAGCAGCAGAGAAGGAGGAATGATATTTCCCTTTCCAGAAACCACTGTGCGGGCTTTACTCTGTTAGTCATGGTCAAGAGCAAAGAGAAAGCAGAACCAGAAGTCTCAAACACTGAAACTCAGGAGTGTCCTCACTACTGACTTACAGTATGATCCTGGGTAACTTAGTGGGCAGGGGTTGGGTTCAAATCCCACATCTGCACTTACGAAGAGAGACCATGAGCAAGCTATCTAAACACCGTGTGCCTCTGTTTTCTCATCTGCAAAATGGGGTTAACAATAGTTACCCACTCAGGTAGATGTGTTTCCCACAAGGCCTGGATGCACACAGGTTGGCACATAGGAAGTATTCATAGAATAATTGTCTACTCTCTCTTTGAAAAAAAAAGGGGGGTGCCTGGCTGGCTCAGTTGGTGGAATGAGCGACTCTTGATCTCAGAGTTCTGAGTTCAAGCCCAGAGTTGGGTGTAGAGATTACTTAAAAATAAAGCCTTTAAAAAAATAATTGTCTACTCTCTTCAGTAATCATTTTTGGCTGCTTCTGCTACAGAGCCCTTCAAACTACAATGAGCAGCCCTTTTTACTGACTTGACCTACCCCTGGGGACGAGTCCTTGGCACAAATGGGCAATAAGACAGGGTTCTTGAGCATGGCAAACAAATAGAGGAGGAGATGAACTTGCCACAAATAAGAGAGATTTCTCAATGGATATAGTTGAGGGTCAAGGCATTATTTCATGAGTAATAGCTCTTAAAGCCAGGGATCAATAAGAAGTTAAAAAGCAGAAGATCCACTGTTGAATATAACAAATTGTGTCTTTGTTGAAGAATATACATCCCTATGCCTCCAGTAAAATGACTCAAAATGGCAAGTGACTCCAATTGCCTCCCAACCCAATACTCTAATTCAGTGGTTCCCAAACTTTCATGTCAAGTAGAATGCAGACTCCCAGCCTCCACCCCAGAGAGTCTGATCAGAAGATCTAGATTCGGAGAAGAAAAAAGAAGAAGATCATCTAGATTCAGAGCAGAGGTGTGAAGTTCTAACCAGCCTCCCCGGGTGGGTGTGGGGGTCCAAGGCGAGCACTCTGAGAAGCAATGTCAGACCATAAATGCTCTCAGTCCCACCCAAGAGACAGACAGCGGACTCAGGTGAGGCTGAGCATGGAGGAGGTTTTGGAAGGAAAGCACAGCAGTAGCCGCCTGGCTCCATAACAAGCAGGGGGATGTTCTCTTCCCTGTTCTAGGTGTGGAAACTGGGATTCAGGATTTGCGAGACCAGGGCAGAGCTTGGTTTAGTACCCCAGTCTTCTGACCCCAAGCCCTTTCCACCAGTTTTAGGATCAGTCCCAGATAAAATTCACCAGACTCTCACCATCCCCAGGAAGGAAAACAGGGGATTACAGAAGTGGCTCTAGGGCCAGAGGCGTGTGGAGACAGCACATCCCATGCACACACACTCAGCACGACCCAGAGCCGTCCTGTCTACCCTCCTCCTTCTCTGAGAGTCTCTGTGCTGCTCTGACTCATAGCTCCGGGCCGCCTCCTGTATGTCGAGTGCACACAAGGACCACAAGACTCAGGGGTGGCAGCATGCGGGCTTTCGTCTTCTTAAATCAGGACATGTGCAAAAGAGAGTCAGACCTGAGCTTTGAGAAAACTTTGGCCTGGCATGTTCTGGTGAAAGTCTATGCACTCCAGGGCGCCTGGGTAGCTCAGTCTTTAAGCGTCTGCCTCCGGCTCAGGTCATGATCCCAGGGTCCTGGGATCGAGCCCCGCATCGGGCTCCCTGCTCCGTGGGAAGCCTGCTTCTCCCTCTCCCGCTCCCCCTGCTTGTGTTTCCTCTCTCTCTGTCAAATAAATAAAATCTTTAAAAAAAGAAAGTCTATGCACTCCTTCTGCCTTCCCAGTCTGGGCCCTGAACTGGAGCAGAAAGCAGAAAAGGGAGGCTGAAAGTCCTTTCCAAGCTAGAGTAGCTCTTTTTCACTCACTGCCTTTAAAATCCTTGTTTGTCTGACACGAGGACAGAACAATGGAAATAACAGAATTTCAACCAAACCCGCTTCCCATGGTCACAGGCGACCCACAAGAACCACCTGGGAAATCAGGTATTCCGTCAGAGTGCAGGGGGTTGGGGTGGCGAACACACTATGTTCCCTCCGTTTTTGGTCCCAGTTTAAGCATGTGTCCACAACCAAGGGACAGCCAAACCAGTAGCTCTTCAGCCTTATCCCGTCAAGCTCAATGGAAGTGCCTCCAACTATTTAAACACAATCTACAAAATCCCACAGTCCATCCCAAGTGCCAGGACAACACCGCAGCGCAGCCCTGAATGCACCTTAGCATCCCCACCCTGGCTAAGACTTGGGGGAAAACGCAGGGTTTCTGCCATTGTTCACTCCCATGGCTTAAAACAAAGTACCCTGTTGTGTTGCTCTCCTCCCCGCCCCGCCCATTCCCCCAAAGCCTCTCGTTTAAAAGCACCAGAGAACTCTCTGCCAAGGACGGTACCTCGACACCAGCCTCCCAGTGCCACAAACACGTCTCTTCTCCGTACTCCGGCGCCTCATCCACCATGGGACTGAGAGTCTTCCCTCTAGGAAGCCAGGGTTTTGCTCTAGTTTAGGAGAGGACGCCGCAGGCTATGTTTCAAATTATTGGCTCTGGTGGGCGGGCCAGCGCCTGCAACACGCAGGCCTCAAGCGGGGAACCCAAGAGAAGGCAGACTTGAGACGTTCTCTGGGGAAAGCCCGCGCTCTCAGAACCTGGGCTGGGTCAGGGCCGCGCGCACACGCACACACACGCACGCTCAGGTGAGCACGCACGAGCTGCCTTGCGGCAAGGCCACAAGGTGTCCCTGCCACTCCCTCGCGCCCGAGTCAGAACCCGGGAACGGGACCCAGGACTTACCGCCAGGACGCTCTGGGCCAGGAGCCCCACTGTCACAGCCCCCAGCAGCAGGCACCTGCACGAGAGAGGGAAGGAGAGCGCCCTGAGCGGGTGGCCTCGGCCTGGCAGTTCCCGAGTTACACGCGCGCAGGACCCTCGGGCACGCGGCAGAAAGTCGCTTACCGCCGCAGGGCAGGGCTGGACGCCGAGCGCTCGTGTCTGTCCATGCTCCCGATCCGGCCGCTCCGGGCTCCGCGCGCTCCCTCCCAGCC